CACGCACACACACACACACACACACACACACACACACCGTTCATGCACATGGTCGGACAACCAGTGCGCCGCCACAGACAGCATCCCTAACCCCGCGGGAACATCTCGCAATCATTCTCTGTCCCCCTACTTCTAATCCACCATCTTGTCGAAAACTTCGTCCCATAGAACCAACCACATCACAGTCGCAATTTCTAGCCCCCACCAGACCCGCCACCGCCACCATAAGACCTGCTGCTCCATTCGTCGGACGCCCTCCGCATTACCATCGCCACAAATCGCCTTCTCGTTAGAAAATTCCTACCATTTTTTATTACCCTTTTCCCCTATCTCACGAGTCTCGACGAAACACTGCATCTGGCCACTAGCATGATGGCGATGATGTTCGGCTGAATCAGCACCAGCGGCTCGCCTCTATAATAAAACAATTTTAGAGTATGAATACTTGATTTGGGGGGGATTTTTTAAGTGAATTAGATAAACAGCTAGGACTTAAATGCAATTTTATAAATTTTAATATATTGCACTTAAGTACTTGAGGTAAATACGTAATTTTTACAAAGTTCAAATTATGCACAATAATAAGTTGTAAAATGCACAAGTATGATAACACACACATTAATAATTTCGCCATATTATTATGAAAATTTCAAAATTTTTACTTCCTCCACGTTTAAAGTTTAATAAATTTATCAAAATTCCACCACGGTTAGAGCGGTTAATCGGTTCATTTGATCGAATAATTCGATTGAAATGTAAAAAACTAATCTAAATGAGTTGAACTTTTGAAAAAAAAACCAAATCTATCGAACTTTTATCTCAAACCTAACTACAACAAACAGAAACGTACAAAATTGATAATTGGAACAATATAAAAATAACCAAAAGTATTATCACAACCGGGTTCGATCTTTTTTTTTCGAGTTTTTCACACATTTGTTCACGCTTCATAATGCACAACTGCGTCAAACTAAATACACATTATTTGTGTATCAGCACATTATTACATGTCTAATTGCACAATATTTACATCTGTAAGTGCAAGTAGCGTAAAAAAGTATAATCTCATAGTCGCTAATGCACATATTTAGTATTTTAATATTTTATATAAAATTAAATAATATTTTAAATCAAGATAGCTGAAATTTTAAAAAGTAAAAAATCGATAATCAATTCGACATAAAAAAAAAAACAAAATTGAAGTTTTTATTGCAGCCGATTTTGTTGTCTTATTATTATTATTATTATTATTATTATTATTATTATTATTATTATTATTATTATTATTATTATTCATGTCTGTATTTTGCAGATTCCTTTTATCACGCCATGATGCACTATAGCGATATATTAAATGCACATTATTACATGTGTAAATAAATGCACAGTAATACATCTATAGATGCACAGTAGCGCAGTAGAGTGCAATTCTCGTTTCACTACTGTTCATATATAGTATTTTAATCTTTATTCAATGTTTTATATTATTATTATATATAAAATATTAAAAAAATACTAGCTCAAACCGAAATAACCAAAAAATTTAAAGTAAAATTCGATAATATAATCGACATAAAAAAAATTATTGCGATCGGTTTCGATCATGTTTTTTTTTTCGATTTTGTGTATTTCGTAGACCAAATATTGTAGATGTTTCATCACACATAATATACCGTTATGGTAATGTGCATTCTCTAAATCGTTAATGTGCAGTTAACATAACTTTATTGTGCATTTTTTAGTAATTGTATTTTTTAAAACACATATATGTACATATAGTATATGTGTATTTTTTTAATTTTTTTTTATTAAATTACAAATAAGACCCATGGATAAAATTGCAATACAATAAAATTTATAAAATTACACATAAGTCCTTCACATATGTCTAATTTTCAAATGTGAGCCCAATCAATTGAATCACCGTCCGCGCTTGTGTGTATACATCGATCTACCGAAGCCTCGACCATGGCCACCCTCTGCCTCTTAATTATCCGCTCCGTCGTCGTCACCACCGCGATTGTCGGTGGATTGTAGGCCCAACTGGAAATTCCAATTTGGATTTGGACTCGGGTTTTGACCCAACCCGAGTGAGACCTCTCCAGGTACAACGAATCTGGACACCTGACTCTTCATGTGAAGTAACAGCTCAGGATAATGGGGTTAATGGTGTTAACTCCTCCTGGTTAATGGTGTTTTAACACCTGATTATTCTCAAAGCCTCACGCATCATATCATACTGCTCTGTTCTCGACTTCATTCCAGTTCGTCGGAGCTCGAATTCTGGTGTGCTACAGCGTTCGAGACGTAAGCCGTTGTATCTTTGGGGACGAGACGCCTGAACCCGTCAGTACTATACGGGGCGTTTTCGTCTTGCGGAAAGAGCAATCGCCTCGGCTATTTTCGCTTCCTCTTTTGTAATTTTTCGTTTCTGTTTTAGTTCAAATTGTAAGAACTGAACACTTCAGTCAGTTCATAGGTTCCCGTTGTAATTCAAAACACACATTGTGTAACAATCGCAAGACGAAAAGTTCGACACCTACTGAACTGATGGCATCCACTGGAGAAGGATCAAAAACTCAACCACCTGTCACCCCCGCTGTTCATCATCCTCAACCTGCTGTTCATGTTCCCACTGCTGAGAAGCCCAAAAAATCAACGGTCTTGATTTCAAGAGGTGGCAACAGAAGATGCACTTCTACCAGACCACTTTGGGTTCGGTGAAGTACCTGAAAGACGACCCTCCTGTCGTGGCTGAAAATGAATCGAATGCTGAGCTGCGAGCTGCATATGATGCTTGGGGGCAAGGTGATTACCTTTGCCGGAACTATGTCCTCAACGGACTGAGTAACGAGTTGTACAATGTGTATAGCTCGGTTGGCTCTGCCAAGGAGCTTTGGGCTGCCTTGGAGAAGAAATACAAAACTGAGGATGCTGGGGTGAAGAAATTCGTCGTCGGCAAATTTCTGGAGTTCAAGATGGTCGACACTAAGACCGTCGTGTCTCAAGTGCAAGAGTTCCAACTCATTTTGCACGACATTCATGCTGAAGGAATGTCTCTGAGCGAGTCATTCCAAGTTGCGGCTGTGATCGAGAAACTGCCGCCAGGTTGGAAAGACTTCAAGAACTACCTCAAGCAC